GTTGCAAAATTTACCTCGAATTGGTAACAAAATACTTTCGTCTTTGCCGCCAGACCGTTTATCCTCCTTCAATCTCGGCAACTTTTGGACCAATTTACCTCGGATTCTCGCAAATGAAAGCTGTACGTCTCTAAATGCACCAACACCCCTCGGTTTTTTGATTTGCGAAACCGACGTTGCAAAATTTACCTCGAATTAGTAACAAAATACTTTCGTCTTTGCCGCCAGACCGTTTATCCTGCTTCAATCTCGGCAACTATTGGACCGATTTACCTCGGATTTTTGCAAATGAAAAATTGCCCACCACTAGAAAATATCGTACTTTAGTCTGCAGGCAATTCTGGGACAACTCTGGAACACTTTAAAATTAATATAGAGGGCACTGCAGTACAATCGGCCCCTGGGTGCAAGTTCTCCTACTCTGGGAAGCTAAATGGTGCAACTATTCCCCCATGGTGCAACGACTCCGTCATGGTGCAACGACGCTTACTCCATATAAGCTCAAGTTGCAATAACTCTTACTTGAGGAAACTCTCTCTGTGTATATATATACACACGAAATGTATACACGATTTTTAGATTAGATTAAGTTTTATACATTTAAACTTGAAAAAACCCCTAAAAATCGGTAAAAATTGGCAACAATGGACCGTTAGGCCTTTTAAAATTCATAGGGTGCTATTTTCATGGCCAGATATGAAAATTACGTAGAGAAATATATATAATGGACACCCATGGAGGGTGACTAAGGTCAAAAAACATTCAAAAGAGCTACCTTCAAGTAAAAAAAGGCCGCTGCAATCGACATCCCAGTCAATTTTCACATCGTGGGAATCCAGGTACAACTATAGACTTTTTATATATATGTATATAAAAATGAAGGGGAAGGGGTTGCTGAGGAAGGGATTGATTGTTTCGCCCCGAAACGTACCGTATTTTAATATGTGTTTACAGCTTTTATCCCACATTTTATTGTGTCATCTTATATGTACATATTTGTGTGTGTGTTTGAGGAGGTGGGTGTGGGTGTGTGTGTGTGTGTGTGTGTGTGTATGAGGGTGAGGGTGTGTGTGTGTGAGGGTGAGTGTGTGTGTGTGTGAGGGTGTGTGTGTGTGTGAAGTAAAATACAGGAATGGGACTAAGTAAAATAAAATGTAAAAATGTATAAATATACGATATAAATTAACATAAATAAAACGAAATAGATTTTTTAAAGTAAATACAAAATAAAAAAAATAAAAGAACAAAAACAAATAAAATAGATTGACCCAAATAGATAAATAGATAAATACATAAGCGATAAATAGATAAATAAATAAAATAGACTAAAATAAATAAATGAATAAAACAAAATTTAATAGATTTAAATAAATAAATAAATTAAATAGCATGGAGTAGATTTAAACAAACAATTAATAACCAAAATTAAATATGTTGTTATAAATAAATAACATAAAATATGTTAAAGTATTTAAATAAAATAGTTGTAGTATATCGAATTTATTCGGTACCAAAACATCTTTAGGCTTTAAGGCATCTGAAAATATATGAAAGTAAATCAATAAATAAAAAAATCCATATAAAAATAAAATAGTTTGAAAATAAATAAAATATAAAACAACAGCCGAGAAGCCGGAAGTCCGCCAATTGAACCTTAAAGCTACGGGGCGCGCGGGGACGGAGGGACGGGACTGGAGATCTCCAGACTCCCTTGGGTGCACACGGGACCCCCTGTTCACTCCCTTCGGAGCACAAGAGATCCCCTGTCATTCTTTTGGGAGTACAGGGACTTTCCTGGCTATTCCTCAGGGGAGCACATGTGATCTCTCATCTCGTGTTCATTCCGAGGAGAAATTTTTATCAGGGTATAACTTGTAAAGAATCGTAATTAGATAAAGACGCAGTGTTTTATCGCACTGTATCCGTTCCCAAGTTTGGTGATACCTTTGCAAGACATTGTAGGACTCTGTATGCATTTCCCATGACATATAGTTCTGTGATGCTCTAATGTATACATAATGAGCTGCAGTCACATGAGTATGTGCCCGTGGCATCTCCCCTGAAATTCTATGATGATCTTCGAGACACCGTGAGAGGTCCCACGAGAGCACATATCGACGGTGAAACTACCAAACCACGTATCTCGTTTGCGGTGTTTAAAAATCTACGCTCACATTTTATTTTTTTGAAGTAGACCAAATCAATATCATTCCTTGAAATTTTCACGGAATTTTCTCCGCACAAAGAGGAAAAATCACAGAAATTTTCAAGACTGGATGTTAAGTACTTTTTCATTTAAAAAATAAAGTATGACAGGAAGTCTGCGACGTCGCAAACCGAGATACGTGGTTTGGTAGTTTCACCGTCGATATGGGTCACATGTACACTCCCATGGAATCAAATGGGTCACATTTCCGCTCCCAGGGGAGTGCACGCGTCACCGTCACATGTTATACTCTGTCTCACGAACGACGATCCCTGGCCCGACGGTCATTTTTGCAGTCGACGGCAACACCGCTAATGACCTGGACGAGGCATTTCAACGAAGAGACTCGCGGAGCCTTTTGGTGCTTGGACCTCTTGTCACTTGCCCGTTAAGAGATGAACCCGTCGGCAGGCCCGTGACATAATTCTTCTCCCGTTGAGCAACCCGTATTAGTAGGAGTACTATTTTTTTTAATTTTAGAGAAAATGGACTTTTAACAGCATCAAACGACGCAGCATGAAAATCCAAGCAAGGTGACGTAAAATTATCTGAATTGGAGCAAATTTGACGATTTTGGCATCTCAAGATCCGACAATGATCCGTGCCATCTTGAGATGCCAAAATCGTAAAAATTGCTCCATTTTTTATAATTATACATCACCTTGCTTATATTTTTATGCTGCAACAGTTGACGCACTTAAAACATGATTTTTCTATAAAATTGAAGAAAAACAAATTCTGACTGACTTAGTCTCGTAAACCCAAAGCCCGGCCGCGAGGTACCTGCGCATTGTCCTGGCTGCCTCTCTCCTCGAACGGTCTCCAGTGGTGTCATTTACGGGTTTTTTGACTACTTACCTTATATTTTCCAAGGATCGTCGTTCGTGAGACAGAGTATAGCCCCCAGGGGAGCACACGGGCTCCCCTGTCCATTCCCTAGGGGAGCACATGTGATGTCGTGTCATTTCCCAGGGAGCACATGTGATCACATGTCACTCCCCTGGGAGCGCATGTGATCACATGTCATTGCCGAGGGGATTTTCAACAGGATAGCTTTGATGATATTTCTTCTCCATTAAACAGGATAGACATTACACATTGCCGAATTTATTTTCTTGCTAGTTCTTTTCCCTTGGTTTGTAATTGTTAGGTTACGAATTTCCCTAAGGACTATAAAATTCAGCCTCTTTGCAGCTGCTTCCGTGAACTCCATGCCTGCTAAGAACCTACTAATAACATGCTTTTCTATTTTCTAGGGTGTAGATCTGTCCCACAACCGAATCAGGCGTATAGATAGGCGGGTCATGGCGAATCTACCATCTCTTAGACGGGTGGATTTGAGTTATAACACTCTTGCCCTCGCCGACTCTGGAGCTTTTTTGGGAAATCCAGCCCTAGAGATAGTCAACATGTCACACAACTCCCTTGTCTCCCTCAGCCACGCGCCATTTGCTCACCTTGTCAATTTATATGAGCTCGATGTCAGCTATAATAGGCTCAAGGAGGTAATATTTTCCTAATATTCCTGTGAATCATTATTTCACATTGGTTTCGTAAAAATAAAATCACCAAAATAGCATTTAAAGTACACTGAAAGCTTGGCTAGACAGCTCTGAAATTTTCAATTTTTTTTAAAAGATAATTTTGATTTATTTTCTTCTTCTTTTTTTCTTTTTATCTCGCAAAAATGAGTAGGTACTTTTGGTAGCTGAGAAGTGAGAATAGTCACTGACGGCCCGTCATAACAAATATTATAGGTACTCTGTATGCTTCATCCCATTCTTCTCCGTGAGTGTGGATCTAATAACTCTCTTTGCGGGTTTATTAGAATCTTATGATAAGGTTTTCTTTCACCCTTATTTTACAGTAAAGGTTTCTCTCCGATCTCTTCGATTTTTAATAATTAATGTATTCATTGTTGGCACCCAACCTCCTCCCCCACCCCAAGTTATCGTTTGTTTTAAAAATTTTATTAGAGCAAACGACTCACTTGTAACCAGTTTATATGCCAGATAGAGTGATATAAATTATTTTTATATCCATGACTAAAGTGCTACACTAAGTACCTCCATTGTGACCTCCCATGTTATTCTTTCGAGAGGGAACAAGTTAGTGAACTTGTTAGCTTGAAATGGAGATGTTGCATGTCGATGGTGAAAGTGCAGAAGTGCGTATCTCGGAAAACACGATTTTTCAGGAGAGTAAAAACACTGTCTACATTCCTCCTTATTGTCAGTAGAAGGGTAATAATTCTTGAGGATAGCAAGAATAAGATGCTTTTTCAGACTTCATCAATAATTTGAATAATTTCTCGCGCTGTTAGAAAATACGGCCGAAATGCCGAGATTCGCGTTTTCGGCAGTAGGAATTTACACTTTATCACGAGATACGCATTTCTGGAATTAGTGTTTTAAACCTATTGTTGGCGGATTTTGATCATTTAAAAACTGAAAAAAGGGTTTCATGCTTACAATTCTTTATCAGAAGCTTTAGTTTGATCTCAGTAGTATGAATCTGGGAATACTAGGGGGTACGCCCCCTGGCCGCTACGCGGCCCAACCCCCTGAAGGCGCTCCGCGCCATCAATGGGCCGCTTCGCGGCCCTATTTTTACCCTCCTATCAGTGTTAGGTTTATTTTCCCCCTGAAAAATTACGATATGATGTATACTTTACTTGTAGAATGAAATAATTTTTGGTTTTGATGAATAAAGAAAAAAATAATTTTTTGAAGTCAAAAGAAAGCGTTTTAGAATGACTGCTTGATGAAGTATTGCAGTAAAACAACGAACAATGATAATCAGGTAATAATTAAGTATATCAAAAGTCGGGAATCGAACCCACATCGTAATCTAAGTGGACGCATTCGACGTCCTAGACGACTCGGCCACCGCTCGTCTTGAGGGAGGAGGTGCGAATCTTGTGTAGATAAGTATAGAGCTGATGCGCAGGCTACACATCCACTGCGCAACCTCTTCGACCACTGCGCATCCTCCCGCGCATATCGGTAGCAGTCCCGGAGCATTCTGTAAATTCACTCACTTTTATAACGTGATTTTAAAAAAACCTGGGTCCTATTTCCAAAATCTAATTAGAGCGGGCTCATCTAGGGCCAATTACCTGTCGATCTACGCAAAAATCATGGAAATCGGCCCGGTAGAACGCTCAAACGAACTATGACAAAAAGTATAAATTTACATTGTTTAAATGGGAGAATTCGCAACTTTACCACGTAATATAAAAAAACCTGGGCCATATTTTGAAAATCTGAAAAGAATTGGCTTATCTAGAGACAATTGCCCGTCGATAGCCGCAAAAATCATGAAAATCGGCCCAGTAGAACGATGGAACTAAGCGTCACCAGTTTCGCAAAATTAGGAGGTCTTGGAGCTTATAGTATAGATGACCAGGTAAAAAATCCAACAGCGTTGCATGATGGTGCAGAAAAATACGAATTAAATTACAGTGTTGTATAGGGATTATTGTTCAATATGGCAACGCTGTAAAAGTGAAACTATTGCATGTTGCCCCTTCAATAATGGGGTTATGCAATGGTGTATTTTTCAAGACGGCGCAGCAGCGTTGCCGCACGGTGCACTTAAATAAATGATTTATTTATTGGTGAAATTTTGCAACATCGCATTTTACAGTGTTGCCAGATGGGGCGAGAAATTGGTTAATTTTTCGATACAATGTTGCCAGATTGTGGAAAAAATACGGATTTTCGGATTTGTAAAAGTTTTCGGTTTCGGAAGACCGTATCTTACAGTATGGATCTGGTATCGGATACTGGAGAGTAGGGTCTGATCCGGGAAATTGAAACATTTTCGGAAAATTACCCTCGTCCGATCCGCCGCGGACGGATGCGATTCTTTTCCACTATCGAAGATCGGAAAACTGTACTGACCGAATTTTGATACGACTTTTCGTTTCCGAGATTTCGAACTTGTAAAATTTTCACGGCATCCACGATGGACCATATCCTACAGTATGGGCCTGGTATCGGAGACTGGAGAGTAGGGTCTGATTCGGGAATTTACATTTTTTAGCGCTTGGAGATGCGTATCGGAACCTTATGTTTTGCGATGAGCAACTGGGATTGGGTATTGCAATGTTCAGATTGATGAATCAAAAATTTTTTTGGGTATTTACAGTTACAGTTTAAAACAGTTCGCGTTGCATACTATTTATACGAAATCCTTACTATCGATCCAACTGTTGTGACTCGCGCCCAGACCCAACCATTCGACAAAGGCCTGGTTTTTCTTGCGACGCAGAATTTTCTCCACCAGGAACGTATCCTTATAGTTGGTGGGTTGGTGTTCTTCGCGGTAGAATTTTCCTTTGATGATCGTATCGTGCGCGTCTTTCAGATCGTACGCGATCGGAACGGTCGGATTGACGCTGACAATCTTGAAAATTTCCGTGCTCCAATTCGGTGTGTATCCTTTTTCGAACATGGCTTTGAGTCTCGAGATCCGGACGTGATCACCGACATTCAGTTTTCGTCTGGCCAGACGCTAGACGTCTCTTTTCAATTTTACTCAGCGGCGGCCCACGAAGCTTTTGCAGGATCATCGGTACATCCTTTTCGGTGACATCGATTGGTTTCATCCCGATGGTGCGATGAACGTTCCCGTTATATTCACGGATGAGTTTCGGTAATAGATCTACCCACTTGTACGATCCTTGCGCACTGCACTCTTTCCACATCTTCGTTTTGAGCGTTCGGTTGAATCGCTCCACAATAGAGGCTTTGGTTGTCGAGTACGAGCTGTACATATTAATCTTGTGACGCTTCATCAATGCTTGACATTTGGAGTTGTAGAATTCCGAGCCCATAGCGACTTGTAAATGTTTCGGTGACTTTCCGGCTGCTTTGAGAACGCGTTGCAGAGCATAAGTGACATCCGTGGCCGTTTTTGATTTGAGCGGTTCGGCCCACGCCTTTTTCGATGACGGTGAGGAGATATCTGTATCCTTTGTTGACCGAGGCGTACGGTTGCATCTCGACGAGATCGGCTTGCCATAAATCGAACAATCGGAGAATCCGTACTTTACGACGCGGATAGTTTAGTCGTGCAGGTTTATGTAGCTCCTCGACGATCCCACGTTTTTCTGCCGACATGATAATTACCGTCGACGTCGTCGTCGTCCGCTCTCTCGATTCAAATGCTGTTTCGATGCTACTATTTTAACCAGACGATTGTAAGATTGTTGAAGCTGGTGGATACGCTCCAGACAGTGTTGACCTCATTCCATAGCTTCCTTCCACTTCCGTTCGGACCATTGTTTGTTCACCGCATCCTCATCGCTTTCGGGATCTTGCACTTGACGAATCCGTTTGTTCGATACGATATAATTCCCGTCGGGATCCAGTAAGAAACCGTCACCTTTGAGACCTTGCTTCGTGTTGCGAACGTAAGTCCCTTTCGATCTTCCAAACCGGACGGTGTGACTCATTTTTTTTTTTGTGTGGAACCTATATTTAGTGGATGTAATCCGCTTCGCGAAGCTCTTCGACGATACTCAGAATTTCACGATCGTGATCGGTGTGACCAGCTTGTTTCGAAGCTACAAGTAAAACGAGACGTTAGACCAATTCGTTCGGATCGTCCCAATAGACGAGTTCCCGTTTCGCACGATGAATTTTGCTACCGGAGCCTTTCTTCAGTTTTTTACGCGATGACTTCCTCGTTGATCTCGGAGTCGATGTAGCGAACAAAGGTTTGATGAGATCGCGGTATTTTTGACTGCGGTTCGAGTTGGGTCTACCGTGTGGATGATGATCTCTCCGATGCGCATTGGTGAGCGTAACTACTCGTTGGAATTTAGCGCGATCATCTGCTGTGTAATTACGCGGATGTTTCTAAAAAAGGAGCTCCAAGAACCCGGGTGTCGGTTCGAACACCTCATCGCTACCGTCCAAGATTAGTCGTCCGTCCGAATCGAAACTTATGGTTCGGTTTCCGATGAGAAAGTTTCCGTTGATCGCTTTCCGCACACCATACGCGGGATCGGATTGTTTCGGATGTTTTTCCAGATAGTCTAAGTAGAATTGTACGTTCGGGGCAGTGATTGTGTCTCGAGAATCGACGTCGTCGTCTTCCGAGCGACCCGTTGTTTGTTCTTTATCCGTTGCGTCTTGGAACGATTCATCATCATCATCATCATCCTCCTACTCGTTTGAGTTGTTATCATCATCATCATCATTGTTCGTATTTTTCGGTGATCCGAACGAAGCAAATAAACTATCAACAAACATTGTTTTATCTTTCGTTTCCGATTTTGAAGGTTCGATCTTGGTTTTCTTTGCCTGAGGAGCACCAACAAGTGCGGGTGTTGACGACGAGACAGTTCTCTGCAACGCTGCGAGCGGATTTGTCAACGGTTTGAAAACTTTCTTCAACGTCACCTGAGCATCCGCCTCTCCGGTGCGAATGGTATTTAACTTCCGTTTGATATCCTGACGGATTTTATCGATACTACCGTATTTCTGAACGATCG